AGTTGGATAGGAGTAATTTTGTGAATCTAATAAAAAAAAAACCTGAATTGTGAGATGATTGAGTGAACTTGACTTGTAAGTACAATATATATTAATTTAAATTATAATATTATATGTAGTTAAATTGTAAACTTAAAGTGTACAACTAAAAAAATATATTTTACTATATTTCAATATAAATAATATTAAATTAATAAATTATTATGTTTGAGATAACATTATTTATTAAACTATTTTATTAAAAGATGATTATTTTTAAATTATTAAATGCATAAATTTAGAATAGATTAAGATTATTCAAAAATAATAACCCAAATCCGTGTTTAAAATACATAGCAACTAATTATTTATCGAATTTAAACTTGTTAAAAGTCAGTTGTGCTGGTTCATTAGAATGGTGCATTACAAATAATGGTTATTTGAATTTTTAGTTTTATACTTTTTCTATATTAATTCAAAATTGATACAAATTGATTACACAATTGTGCAACCTACATTGATTAAAAAATATATTAGGTAATCCAAGTACTTTGGATATAAAATGACTTTTTATTGGTCTGTTATCGAAAAAAAAATGTCAATATTCACGTCAAAAGATGTAGTTTCTTCACTTCTTATATTGAATTTATCTAGAGGTATGTACTATTTTCTTTATGTCTGTCTTCATGCATAGACATATATGATCAAAGTTTTAATATAATTCTACATTTTTTTTATAATCAAGTGCAACAGTCCCTAAGCAAGATTGATGGAGGCTAATTTATGTGCGAAGTTTTCCCATTCAGTTATCTAGTTGTACTATAGATATATGCATATGAATTGATTAAAGGATATTTTTTCAACAAATATAATGTTGATTCCTAAGAAAAATATTCATCTTAAGGGAAATCACAGGGCTTGGAAAAGGACGACATCTATATGCTATATAATTCAATAAAATTAGTAATAATAACATTTAATGCAAAGATTCTCCAAAAATTGAAATTGACACCATACTTACATTGTTCTGTAGTTTTAAATGGTAATAGACAAGGTGTGATTTGTTTTGTATGCAGTATTTGAGTTATTCTAACTTGATATGTGATTTGTATTTTGGGTCATTGAACAAATTAGACTCTAATGGTCAGTTTTTTTCTCAATTTTATTTTTATTCTAGGCAACTGGTTAAAGGTGTCAAGAGAAATTGTTTTTATAATATTGAATGTTCTCTAGTTGATAACTTGGGTTTGTTGTCAAAAAGGCCTTTTACAAAGTGGCAAACTAGTTGAATATCAACACCTTATATTTTGTTGGCTTTTTTATAAGTACACTTTTTTTATTTTTAAAAAAAATTATAAAATATTTGTATTTTTATTTTTATTTTATACCTCTAACTTTTGATTTGCTACTTTTTTCTTCTTTTTTTACACACTTTTCTTTTTCTTTTTCAGTTTTCAAATGCACCATTTCATCTCCCTCAAATTTCTCACTTATTTTAATAAATAGTTTTAACTCTTTCGATTTTTATATTATTTTGCATGTGTGTGAAAACTAAAAGAAGAGAAAGAGGAGATAAGAGTAAGAAAACTATAAAAGAGGAGGGAAAAAAGAGTAATATAAAATTAAAAGAATTAAAATTACCTACTAAAATAGGTAGAATGAAGAAAAGGTAAGGAGATGGACGTGAAAATTGAAAAAAAAAAGAAAAGATGTGTAGAAAAAAATATTAAATTAAATATTATAAATATAAAATTAAAAATAAAAAAATTAAAGATATTTTAAATTTTAAATTTTTTTTAAAAAAAGGAAGTATACTTATAGTTAAAAAGAGGTGTATATATCATCAACCTATTTTGTTTTAAAAAGTGATCATATATGGCAAGAGATCAAATCTGAGAACTTTAACTCAGCATTATGTTAAAGATCTTTATCTATTTCTTGTACTAGAATTATTTCAATATATTTTTAAAATAGTTTAACAAAGAAAGGCACTAGACATTACGAAACAAGAAAAGTTTAGCTAATTCTACACAGAACATGGGGAATTATGCAAGAATGAAAATTCTTTTATTTATCCTGATTCCATATACCTGATTTAACAATCTCAGCAAAAAAGAATCATTCATCTTAGCGTTATATCTTTAAGTATGCGCATACACAAAAAAACAATATTATTGACAATCTACTTAATAAAAAACGATAGGGTTAAATATTGTTTCTCAAAGACAATGAGACCAAGACACGCGACTTCTAGTTTGATGTGAAATGTATTGTAAAACTAATCTAAAGCGCGCTTAATCCTTTATGCCTTATGGTTATGAACATGGTAGTCAATAATATGCAGAGGTGGGTGATTTGACTTTAATCAAGTTCTTTTCAAATTTATGGAATTTTACATTCTCATGTTATCAAACATGATACAACTTTAATGAGAAGTTGTATAGCCATAAAAATAGATCTTCATGTTTTTTGCACCCGTTTAATATTAAAGAATGCTAGTTATACTGCAGGGTTTCATTTTATATACTACGTAGTTGGAATTCTGATTACCTACTTAGTTCCTCTGAATATAATTCTAACGAATATGATTGTAAGTCATAATATCAAGTTTACTTGGTTCAAGTATGAAGTCTTGAGGTTGGCACGACTTTATATATCATAGGATTGCATATAGACGCTCTCAGTCATGGAATAAACATGTCAGCCCATACACAGTGCTGGTGAAATTAATAAACTAAATTGTCAACGTGGCATTGCATTAATGTTTATTATTAAAAATTAGATTGTACTATGTAACGAAGAGTGTTATAATAAAGTGTAAAGGCTTAAGAAGAAACAACTATGTTGATGATGTTGATTTTATTAACTAGAGAGGTAAAGTCCTTGAGAACAGGGCAAGAAAAGGTCCAGTTCCACATGGTAGAAGAGCACAAATTTAAGTATACTCAACATATGAACGATGGACTAATCTTTGAAAAGATTGAATAAAACTTTAATTTTTAAATCTAACAATATTTAAATATCTTTATTTATGATCTTTGATTTAAAAAGAATGATAAAGTTAAATTAACCATCCAAATTAACCATCCAGTTGTAAAGACAAGATTTATTTATCCAAAAGGGAAATACATTCTTGCTGAAACCAATTACCACATATATCAATAATAATGATGAATGTAAAAGTAGAAGCGGAATAACAAATTAGCAGAGTGAATCACACGAGTTTTATTTTAGGCAACCTTAAATTGGGACAGTCAGACCTAAATGCATTTAGTACCCATGGGATTCGGACTTACACGTGTGGGTTAAGATCTGAATTCAAAATTTCAAATTTTGAATTCAAATCTCGGCGCCACATGTGAAGCTTTCCCATTGGCGCCAAATGCTTCTTAATTTCGGTGGCTTAAATAGTTTCCTCCTCACACATTGTATTCACTTTTGAGAATAATGAAATTTGAGAGCTTATTCAGCCAAATTTCGTTCACGCCCAAAGTTGCACACTTGGAACCCTACTTAAGTGATTCTTCCACACATTGTATTCACTTTTGAGAATAATGAAATTTGAGAGCTTATTCAGCCAAATTTCGTTCAAGAGTCACCATGAGAGAAAGCTTCACCTTAGGAACCCTTCTAGGATTTCCTCCTCTTTGAAGTGAGCTTTCCCTTGCACCTTAAGCTTGGATGCTTCCATCCAAGGCTTAAGCCTTCTTCCTATCCGAGAATCTCCTCCATCTAGTGTTCATCACGTTGGTTTCTATTTCCTTGAAGAAGATCCGTGCATAAGGAGAGCTAAGGAGAAGAACATTCATCACTCCTCCTAACCTCTTCCATCATAATGACTTAGTATAAAAGTTGTTGCAACTATTGAATGTTATACAAAAATTAAATTTAAATATTACTTACAACTTAATATAGGATAAAAATAAATTGTATGTAAGAGTATCTCCAGTGGTAGAAACTAGTTTTGATTCTTAATTATTTTATGGGTCCATTAGTGTCACTTAGGATTTAAGAACTTTTTGTATTTTTGTTCTAATTGAAGGACTTAACTTAAATTCTTAATTCACTTAACTACAATGAATCTCACATTTTTTTAGTGAGTTTGTTGATTTTCTTCTTGAATCATTTAAAAATAATAATTTTCTATTAATATTGTAGAACTTGATGTAGAATCTATCGCAACAATAGGATACAAAAAGTAAAAAACCTGTCTACATTAAAGAAATATGATAAGATGAAAAGAATATAATGTGTAGAACTTAATGTAGAATCTATTGCGACAATAGGATACAAAAAGTAAAAAACTTGTTTACATTAATGAAATATGATAACGTGAAAAGAATATAGTACTTTTAAGTTTATGAACTATTTTTTAGTTTATGAAATAAGCTTCATCAAAATAATCAGACAATCTGACAGAAGAAGTAGGGAAGAAGAGAATTTTTTTTAATTAAAACATGGAGACTGTAAATTCTATTGTTTTCTACAAATTATCAATTATAGAGAACTAAAAGGATCTTTAAATTCAAGATTCTTTCATAACGAAGGAATAATGTGTTATTGTGTGTATTTTTCTCCATAGCGGGAATCTCATTGAACTTTAAAGCTCTTCAACAAGTTCATTAAAAGGCACATCTTTCTTAACAAGCTCATTAAGAGAAGATGCAAGTGTAGAGAAATCCTTAACAAATCTTCTATTGAAGCTAGCTAGACCACGAAAACTCCTAATTTCTCCTACATTCATTGGGGTGGGTCATCCTTGGATAACCTTTATTTTCTCAAGGTCAACATGCGCACCATCTTTGTCAACTATGAACCCTAGAAAGTTCACATTATCTTTGCAAAAAGTACATTTATCCATGTTTGCATAGAGGTAGTTGTCCCTAAGAATAAATAGGACATCAAGTTGAGATTCTATGCAAATTCAAACTCACTCTGTTCTACATGCAATATTCATGATTCATACCATATAACATCAAACATAAAATCAAAATTGCAAGAATATAAAGACAAGTATAAGGATAGATGAAAAATGCACAACCAATTTATACTGCACATCCACTTGTGACTTACATCCAGTCCCAATCAGAGGTTTTACAATCACATTACCACATGTAATACACTTCTACACTATTAAAGAAACCACTTATTGCACCCCCAAAAAACATTTACTTGTAGTACCCTACAACAAGATTTTCCTTCTTAAGAAACCTACTTAAGAGAACAAATCACAAAAGTTAAGGAACAAATCTACTTGATGTACAGAACAAATCAGAGTAGGTGAATCGACCAAAGTAACTTATCCTATCACTCTATGAATATGATGATTAATTCAAATCTTGAAATCAACTAAAGAAGGATATTAGGGAACAAAGATTGTTACTCTTTAACTAGGAAAACATTTTGAACACTAGTTCTCCTTCCTCTTTTTCTTTCTTTTTTATGTGCTTTTACAAACCATGAGAAAATTAAGACCAGTTCCACAATGTCTCGCTTTCCCTATTTCCTTGATTTTTCATTTCAATTTCTTAAACCAGAAAATGAGAACATTCGCTCTTATTCTCTTTGCAAGTTTCATGTAGTAACATGTATCAAGATAAGGAAATAATGTCAACAAAATTTAGGAATGTGATAGTTGATCTAAATAAAAAAGAATATAATTTTAAACTACAGCAATGCAAGTGCAGTGGAATGTATATGTTGAACTAGTGTTATAGACATTTTAAGATTAATTAGAGAATAAATTAATACAAATATATTATTAAATGAAAGTCTGTTATATAGATACAAAGGACTGTTATCTATACTAGGCAATAACAAATATAATAATCATCATTTCAAATTAAAAGCCTTTTTCGAGTAACAACTAACTCTTACTAAATCAATCTTCATAATTATATTAGGAAATAAAAAATATAATAGCTACCATTTCAAATTAAAATCCTTAATTTTTTTGAGTAACAATTAACTCCTACTAAATCAATCTTTCCAAAGACAATTATTGTTTACCTCTAAGCAATTGTGTTGTCATCGTCTCCATACTTTGAAATAATCTTTATTTGTTAATCATTGTTCTCCATACTCAATTTTGCTAAGATTATTGTTATAACTAGTGGAACCACTCCATGATGTTTGGTCAGAGATGATTCCACTATCATGTCCAAAATCTTCATGGGGATAGAAAATAGGCTTTGGAGGCATTTCAAGACTTTCAAATTTTCCTTCAAGCATCTCTACAACCTTCTTCATTGATGGACGATCACTTGGTTTCAATTGTATACACCAAAGTGCAACTATAAACATCTTTTTCACTAGAATTTTATCCTCTTCTGAGGCATCCTCCATGTCAATGTCATTTTCTTCTTTAAATTGATCATAGATCCAAAATGGGAAGTAATGTTGGCTTGAATGGTCTGCATGAGGATTTGAGTTCCTTCTTCTACTTCCCATTTCCATCAAAAGCATTCCAAAACTATACACATCAGCTTTATAAGATATTTTACCAATATTTTGGTAGAATAATTCGGGAGCCATGTAACCCAAAGTTCCTCTTGCACCAGTTAAAACAATAGATCTATCTTTCATATGATATAACTTTGCAAGTCCAAAATCTGAAACCTTTGGAATCAAGTTATCATCTAGAAGAATATTATGAGGTTTGATGTCAAAATGAAGAATTTGTACATCACAACCTTGATGAAAATATGCAATCCCATGAGCTACTCCAAGAGATATTTCATAAGTTTTCTTGTAACTTAAAGGAACACTTCCTTCTTTAGAAAAAATGTATTTATCTAATGACCCATTTGGCATGTATTCATAAACTAGAGCACGTTTTTTCCCTTCAACACAATATCCAATAAGACGTACCACATTCATGTGATGTATTCTTCCAATAGTAGCCACTTCACTAATAAAGTCTTGTCCATTAGTTTCGGATTTGTTCAACATTTTTATTGCTACATGTGACCCACTTTGAAGCTTTCCTTTGTATACAAAGCCGAAACCTCCTTGACCCAATATCACTTTGAAACCTTCAGTCATTTTCTTGATTTCTTTATATTCGTACCTAATGGGATTTAGATTGTTGTCTAATAAAAACATTTCAATGTTTTCATACATTGAAACATGTCTTCGTCGCCACATATAGATATATAACATAAGCAAAAGTGAAACTCCAAAAAGACATCTGGCTACCAAAAATATTGGTAAAACATATTGTCCTATTAAATCTTCGTTAGCTTCCCAAGCAGTAAGTTTTGTGCGAAATGTTATTCTTTTAACTAATCCTGTAATGATAAATTTTCATCGAATGAGTATTGAAATAAAGCATACTTTAGTCTAATCAATAACTTAGTTCAAATATGTAACTAGAAGACTAATTATATGAAGTAAAATTAATAGTGGCGATAATAAATAAGTTGTATTACCATTTATAACACCAATGAGATAACCTGCAAAAATAAGGCAACATAAATATAAAAAAAAACATGACTTGCATAACATCAAAGATGAAAAGAGAACTTAGTATTTAAAACATGTTATAGATATGAATTTCCCCACAATCAATGTATTGTATAAATGTACATAAATCAAAAATCAATATTTGTATTTATTGTTTATATTTGTTCACAAAGTGTGAGTTTGGGCATTTAATTATAGTCCAACACATAAAACGGGTGTATTTGGATCCTCTTATATGATATTTTTGTCTAGTGAAATCTTAGTTATAATTAAAATTAATAGAGAAAATTTTAGATAATAAAAAATTGGTATGAGATTTTGATAGTAGATATTTTCACTTTAGAGAATTCATGCGAAAATTTCACATGATTTCTAGGTTGAGATATTAAAGAAAGTACACAGTAAGAGCTTGAAAGCAACATGTGAAAGTCTTATCCATCTTTCTTCACTACGAGTAATATATGGGATGAAATTTCTTTTAAGGAGGGGGGAGTTGTAACACTCCAATTCTTTTAAAAAGAAGTTACATGTATGTGAGTGTATTAAGGAATAAAGGTGAAATATCCTATGGTTTGTTAAGGTGAAATATCCTTTTGTTGGTTGTTGTTATGATGATGCTCATTTATCCTGACTAGTCACTACAAGTATAATTCAAATTTTATTGTATCATGAAAATCTAATATATGATCTGTATATATATTTATATTTTTCACCTGGAAACAATCCTCCTTGTCCACCTTATGCTTCAAAGCTTCGTTTATAGAAAAAGTAACTTTTTCATTAGCCACTCTCAACATCAACTCACCTTGCTATACATCTATCAATGTTCAACCTATGGCTAAAAATGGTCTTCCCAATATAATTGGGACTTTAGCATCTTCCTCCATGTCAAGAACCACAAAGTCAGCTGGGAAAATAAATTTATCCACCTTTACTAAGACATCCTCCACTACGCCATAAGGATAAGTTACTGAATGGTCGGCTAGTTGTAGAGTTATCATAGTAGGCTTCACTTCTCCAATGCCCAACCTTTTAAAAATGGACAAGGGCATCAAATTGATGCTTGCTCCAAGGTCACACAATGCCTTGCTCACCATTAAATTTCCAATCTCACATGGGATTACAAAGCTTCCTGGATCCTTCAACTTGGGAGGTAATTTTTGTTGAATTATTGCACTACACTCCTTTGTGAGCATTATTGTTTCATCTTCTTGAAGCTTCCTTTTTCTAGATGTTGAGATTTCCGTTGAAATTACTTTTGTTATTATTGTAAATCATTTTAATTATATCAATAGACTCAAACACGGCAAGTATATCGGTCATTCAAGTAGTAAAATTATCGTATCCACGGGGATTAGTAGGTAAAATAAGCATTTATTGACTATTCGTGACTAAAGAATAATTTCAATTTTGTAGTTTGTCATGTAATTGTGAATTGAAGAGTATGACTACTGGAATGTTAACTATAAAATTATGGTTTGTGTGTGGAAAAGGGGTAGAAATGGTATTATGGTTTTGTGAGATTGTGGGGTCAGATATCACCGAACGTCACACTAATGAATCCTTAATCTCTTGTTATATCCATTGCTTAGTCAACCCATAAGTTTACTCAAACCTAATCCCTTAGAGTAAGAGCCTAGGTGCGGATAATGAATATCAATTCCTTGAGTATCCAATACCTACACCCGCATTACGGGTTAGGGTTTAAGACTACTAATGGGCCAAGCTCCATTCCTAGATACATTTCCCACTAGGCATTTGTTTCAGAGCTAGTTTCAAAGGTTATTTTCCAATACCCAATGGAACCTATATCATGCAAGGAGAATCAATCCAAAGCAAGCATTAAGAATAGAAACATACACAACAATGAATAAAACAACACGTATATATATCATTAAAACGTAAGGATTACAATAGAGTACGTTGGTTACATCTAACCCCACAAAACAATGGGTAGAACCACTCAAAACAATGAGGGTAAAACAAAAATAGAGATGGAAGAGAGAATGAAGAACCGAAGGAAAGACCCACACACGAACGGTCCCAAGCTCTGGGAATCCCTTCCTCAGCTCCTAAAACGCGTCCAATGTGCGAATGAGAAGAAAACCCTCGAAAGTTTCTTCAAATACAAGCTTGGATATAGTATTTATTAAATATTTTATTTTATAGTTTTTAATAAATAATTGTTATTTTAGAATTATTGGGTTGAAAATTAAAAGAGGCTTATTAGAAAATAAGGTAAACATGTCTTCCTTAAAATAATATATAGTTTGAACTTTTATCTCTTTGGACCTAACTCTTCTCTTAAAGTCATTATAGTTTTAAGATTTAGTCTTTCTCTAATAATCCTATTTATTGATTTCTCACTTGGAACCTTTGTGCCGCTAAAACTAAAAGAAAAAGGAGAAAAAATTCTTGAGGAGAGGATTAGAGTTTTTCATCCTTACCATTGTATGAGTGTTTTCTAGGTAAAAGGGAACTAAGTTAGGGTAGACCTCCATCTTTTAGGTTTATGTTTAATATTTGAATGTTTATATTTAATTATCTTGATGGGTTTTGAAGACCTTGAAACTTTCATTTTAGTTTTGATAAGTTTTAATGGTTGAATTAACTTATTGGATGTTCTTTGAAATGTTTGTTCTAAAATTATTGTTAAATTACATTATGAGTTGAGTTGTAATTGATTGTGGTTATATATGCTATTTAAATTCATTATTTACCATAATTTGTGCAATTTCACGAGTATGTCTTGAGTGTAGGGACATTCTTGCTAAGTGTGAGACTTTCAGAAAGACAAAGTGTATTCTTTAAACTTTTGGTATTGAGACCTAACACTTATTAAGCACAATAATCATAGAGAGTAATAGTAGTTTTGGCACTAAATGAGACCAAGTTCTAATGAAGTGCACAAGCCACATAGAGCTTAGCGTATTTTGATGCTAAACGAGAAAGTTACAATGTGCAACAAAGGTTTTGACAATAAGCACAAGAGAGTTTACGCTGAGCGTGAGAGTCTAAAGCTTTGTTTGGGGGAGAAGAAAGAATAAAAGGGAATTAGAGATAATAAGTGAGAATTGATTTCATAGGAAATAGGGTAAAAAAATCAAGTGAAATATAATAGAATTTATAATTATTTGGTAGAGTGAAATTAAGTGAGAAATATGATAAAATTGGTATTTATAATTATTATTTTACTTTCACTCTATAATATAGTTTGAATTAATATTTTTTTTATGTTATGTAATTTTATACATTTTTCAAATTCTACAAGAATCCTCACGATAGAGAGGGTAAAATGTAAGACCAACTTTTAATTTCTCATAATTCTCCTTAAATATTTTCTATCAAATACAAATATTATTTTTCAAATCCACTCTAATTCATTCTCCTCTTTATTAAATAACCTCCATCTAGCATAGACCAAAGAGTAATCTTTCCTTTTGTACTCTTGGCGCCATGTGAGAATGTGAGAGCACTAACTGAGAAAATACCTAAGTACCGGCTATAGAGCAACATATACTCTGTGACCTCTCCAGGTTGAGTGTAAATTCAATGAACTAACATGACATCTTTTAGCTTTCAACTATATACCGGCTAGTAAATTATCTTTTTTGGTTTCCTATTATTTTTTAGCTTTCAAGAGTACTTTTTTCGATTGCTTTTAAAAATAGGTCTTTGGGTTTTAATTACAAGATCAACCCAATTGGCTAAAGGGTCTGGAAAATCAATTTAAGTTTTAAAAGGTCATCCATCAAGACTAAAATATATGAAAAATCTTGTTTTTTTATCCATTAAACATAATTTTAAAAATTAGACCAGTCATCAAATCGGTTAGGGTACTGGATTAGTGGGTTAAAGGTTAAAGCGGTGGGTCACTAATTGAACCGCGTGACTCAATTTTTATTAATTTTTTTAAAAAATATTCATGTTAAATATATTTTATACTTATAAATTTCAATAAATTCATATCCTATCTTAAATTTAAATTTCCATCTTATTATCTTTATTTTTATTTTGTATAAGAAATGCATAAAAAATTACATGTTAAACTATATATTAATAAAAATTAAAAATATAAATAATATGTATATATATAATATACTTGCAATTGATATCACAAAATAATATATGTAATATCTACATAGATATTATATTATTAAATATATAATTTAAATTTAATAATATACTATAAAAGTTATTTAAGTTAAACAAATACATTAGAACAACAATTTATGTATGATAAGGCTCTTTACTCTTTCATGAGTAGGACTCAATTTCCATGTTGTGTTTTTCTTTGAATTTCCTTTTAAAAGTGATAAAAAAAATATTTTTATGGTTGAACCGGTTTGACTTACTGATCAAACCAGAAAATTGACTGGTTCACTTTGATTTGAAACGAGTCGAATGCATAATCAATCCAAGTCCAACTCAAGACTCATATCAATTAGACTATTGATTCCTAGTTCAACCGATCTGACTGACCAATCCGAATCGATTTTTAAAACTTTGCCATTAAATATAATCAACGCTAACAAGTGGGGTGAATTTACATAACAAACTAAAGGAAAATTTCTCCCACAAAAATTTTATTTGACTTAAATGTATTTAATAAAAAAAATGCCCCCACAAAATATATATTGTTCCAATTAAATAATTTATTAAATGAGAGTTAAAAATTATAAGAGATAAAAAAAATTAGTACTAATATTTTCAATTTTATCTTTCACTAATTTTTACCTTTCTATTCTTTAATACTAAATAAGTCATATAAAATTGTAAATACACACCTTCAGACATGAAAATTTTGTTGATTTATTTATGAGACAAATGTAATTTATAAAAATTAGGTATTTTAAATTTTTTCGAAATGAAAATATATATTATAAAAATTATTATATTTTTCTTCTATAAAAGTATTATAGACTGTTTTCTTGTGCTAATTTTTTTGGGATCTGCGTCACTGCTGACAAGTGTTTCACCGTTAATAAAGAGATTGACAATTTTTATAAAATGTTAATGCAAGAATTATCCCTATTTATCCAATGTTTATTAATTAGAAAGTCATACAGTAACTAATTAAAAGGGGAAAATGGGGGGAAAATGATATGAGAGGAATGGTAAAGATGGGAAAGCGTGCTTACCTTTTATATATCCGAGAATTCGTGATTGAATTGCTAGAACACCAAAATGAAATTAATTAATAAGCTTATTTTGTAACAAGTAAATAATTTGTATAACAATTTTTTACTATAATTTTTACACAAAAATGAGATAGAATAAATCATGTAAAAAAGGATTATATATATATATATATATATATATATATTATATATATATATATAAACAGTTATAAAAAATGTTACAAAAATATACAACACTATGTTGTAATTATCAACATCAATAGGCTAGTTATTATTATTATTATTATTATTATTATTATTATTATTATTTAACTGTGTTAATTATTATGATATTAAAAATACATGTTGATGTGCACCCAATTACATTTATAAAATTTGAAAATGATACTCTTATAACCCAGAAGTATTAAAGGTATACTGAAATAATTTAAAAGAAACACACTTAATAGGAGAAGAAGATTAAAATAATTAACTTTTCTATAAAATAAAATTAACTTATATATAGATTAATGTGTAAAAAAATTTGCCTAAAAATTATTTTCAACACATGTATAGACTAATTATAATTTATGAAAAAAATTCTTAACATATTATATTATTGATTTAATATATCATTTCATTCTTAAAATTTAAAAAAAAAATGTAAATAAAGTCTACCTAAACTATATAATTTAGTTTCTAGAATTAATAATTTTTTTAAAATCTACAAAATTTCATAAAATATTATTAATACATATAAATTATGTGACAAAATAATAATCTAATATAATTATTCAAGTTTGTAGATATTGAAAATGTATTTTTATTAAATTTCATATATTGTAAACAAACTTTTAATATTAAAATTAAATTACAAGAATATAGAAAGACAAAAGTTCTAAATATAATTTTTTTAGTTTAGAATTCTAATTAAAATATCATAAAATATTCAGTGAAGAAATGATATATTAAACATATATTATTCCTGTATAAATGTTTTTGCTAAAAAAGATTAAAGCAAAGCATAGAGATTGGGAAGGGAGCATGCACACAGAGACGAAAATGTTCTAACCGCACTTGACGAGTTTATCTTCGAATATATAGCACGGAACAAAAACTTCATCACATTGAACTTGTTCTGTGGTTTCATTGAGAGAGCATGAGGAAGCTCTTCCGCAATTATCCCTGCAAGTAACTGGTGACAACCAAGACAACCAAAATCCGTTGTGCAACCACTCACGTATATCACCATAGGAAACGTTCTTTTCGGAGGTCCAGTTTGCAAAAGTAGCAACCTTTACACGGCACCCACCCTTAGGAAATACAAACTCCCACATCATTAAAATTATAGAAAAAATACGGGTTTATAAAACAAACATATTCTTTTGAAAAAAAAAAAAATAACAAGAGTTTAAGTTCAACATAAACATCAATGTACTAATGTGAAGATGGGGCATAATAAAATTATATTATGTCTGTACTAAAACAAACCTTGATGTCCATGAGAGTAAATTCTTGATTCCGATTCAAAACGGCGTAAATATGGCCTCCGGAATCACAACCACCAACATTCACATCCACGTATCGAGGATCATCGGTCACTGGATTGGTACAGTTTAGAAACACTGTACCTGAGATATTTTCCCCTGCTGTTAGCCTGTCGTCACCATCAAAGAAATTCAAACTTCTTCGGTTTAAGAAATAGCGAGGAATGGAGCAAGCAGTGTCCTCCACAACACCCGCATCAATTAATCGGATTTCGTATCTCGCGTAATTGATATCCTGCACATGGTATTTCCCTAAAAACAGAGTAAACACTGTCACGTTGTTCACGCAATCTAACTCATACTTTCGGAGGCCGCAACCACGTGGATCGCCTTTCAGTCGAAATGGATATGTTATGTTGCTAATTTTGCCGCATGAAGAAGGAACACAAGATGGGTCATGCTTGGCGCTGCATGTTGATGTTTGTTGAAATAGCACAAAAATGATAACCACGATGCCAACCATTGTTTGCGCACAGCGGTAGAAAGAAGGGAAGACAATCATTCTTTACTATGCTCTTCTATGTGAAGAAATTATAGTTAAATAGTTCTTCAATAAGAGCTAGCTGCATGCTGGACCACTCTTTGAATGTTGTTCCGTGTTGAACTAATCAAGGGTCGGGCCCTTCGGTTTCTTTCTTTTTTTTATTTGTTAATTTTACGTTAAAAATGAAGTCAACTGTAAAATAAAATTCTGCCTTTTTAATACGGCACGAAATGCAGTTGAAAAATCAACGATATTGATATTTAGTGATTCATTTTCACTAGTAGTGGGCCTGCTTCGAATTATTGAGTGGGGGGCCTTCATCGTTCTGTTCTGACACGGAATCATGGGACTCTGTTTCTAGGTAGATTCGTAGAAAAGGTTATTCGCTTTCGGTATCAACCCAATCCGTTAAGGTGCATCACCTGAAATGTGGTTTGCCAATACACCATCACTTTAACTACTTGTCTTTGTGGCTCACAGCTGCGGAAAGAAGATAAGACAATCATTGCTACCTGCTTGTATGTAGAGAAAATATTGACGAATTCTACTTTAAATAACATACTCATGGTTCTGTAAGGCTTTGATAAATTTTTTTGTTTGTTGATATTTTGAATATCAAATTTGTTGTGTTGGTACTTTCTTGATATGAAATTTGTTTTATATAAAAAGTAAGTAATATGTAATATGTTTTGGTGAATATGTAATAAGTAAAAGTGGGTGAAAATCATTATTTTTGGGAGGTAGTACAACTAAGTTAACTATGAAGCATTTTTTCTTGTAACTTGTTCTTCATAACTTTCAAGTCATTGAAAAATGTTGATATATGTAGTAAAATGTGAATGCATATAAGAATCCTCACTATAGAAGTTGTTATATTCAAATTTGTTCTTCTCTCTTCCTACCTAACTATTTTCATTTTTAACATGGTATTAAGAGTTTTATTGATCTTTAAGGGTTTTTGAAGGAGAGAATAAAAAATATAAAAACAAAGTTTGGGTGTGAGAAAATCAGTAAGAAAACTCACTCAAAAAACTTTCAACGAAATGCTTCTTGTAACAATTTGTTAAGTTAAAAGACAATTTAATATCTTCATTTTTCATAAGTTTTAATGATAACAAACACTACGTTTTTATGCAAGAAAATACTTTCAAAAAGTCGTTATTTTAGACTTTGTAACACGAAATAACATTTGTAAGACGAAGCATTTAAGATAAAACATACAACTATTCTTTACGTCCATTATTTATTGTGTGGTATTTTTAAATTTTTAAATGAATGTTTTATACCTTAACGGATTGAAAGTCGTTGTTGTAGACTCACATTCTGTTAAAAGTGTATAAAAGCATGTAGAGCATCATAACAAAGGACAAAAATCCTAGATTTCATAGAAAAGACAAAAAAAAATGACTGCATCCTCATTACATACCGACTTTCTTCTTGTTGTTCCCATTTTGCTACTCTACACCGATAAGTAACTCGATCTATCAAAGATAATGAGTACATTTAGATGAAAGACATTAATTGAAGCATATAATGCACCAACAAATATTTCCTCTCTCTAGATTAGACGAAAGAGTAAGACGAAACAGTTTTATGAATCAGACTCAAGAACCTGCAATTGTCATCTCTTTCAAAGCTACTATATAAGAATCTCTAGAACTCAAGAGAAAAAGAAATGATACAAAGAGAAGATTTTGAGATATAGAGAAAATATACAACTCATAGAAAATCTACTTTAAGAGCTTTTTTGCACTTAAATGTTTGTTGTAATCACATCTAAAAGAGACGACAGCTGCAACTTTATAATACCTTTATAACCATTGTTATAGGGTAGAGCCTGAAGAGACTTGATTATAAAAGAATATTTGGGATTAAGGTTGGAGAGACTTGTAAAAAAAGAAATACTTGGGCAACAACTTGAAGAAGTCGGTCAAAGAGCACTTATTTGAGTCAAAAATAGCTTGGTAAAAGAATACTTGTAACTTTGTTAAAAATTAGTGGAACTCAACCTAATTAGATTGAGAATTGGATATGTAGCCTCTACGGTTGAGGTGAACCAGTATAAAAACTTTGTGTGTTCTTTGATTACTCATACTAATCATTTGTCTATTGTAGATACTACTTCACGTACTTGCAAACGTGTGACTTTTTTATATACACTATTCAACCCCCTTCTAATGACTATCTTTCTCCACTCAATTCCTTACCTCCATTACCAGTATTTGCTAGAGAAGATTATGGTTTGTGGGCAACAAAGATGAGAACTTATTTACGAGCTCAGAGTTTGATGGAAGTGATGGGAAATGAAAGCATTCCAACTTCTTTACTAGACAACCAAACAATAGTTCAAGTAAGATTTCACACTAATGAAGCGGCTAAAGAAGGAAGAGCACTTTCCATCATACAAGGAGAAGTTCATAATGACATTTTTATCAGGATTTTGAATCTTAACACAACAAAAGAGGATTGGGAAAAACTCAAGGAGGAATTCCAATGCAATGAAAGAACAAGGAGGAGTTCCAACACAATGAAATAACGAGGATGAAGGTGTTAAATTTAAGAAAAGAATCTGAAGTTGTTCTAGTAAGGGGATTGTCACCAAAGAATTCTTAATGAGACTACCACTAAGAAAACCTAGAAATTATCCTAACTCAAAACATTCAATAAGTGTAGCCTTGTTGGATCAAGCGCTTACCACTAGGCCAAAAGCTATAACTAATAGTCAGGGAGAAACTACAACTCTTTCTACTTAATTGTAGCAGCTCAAGTGTCACGTGTATCAACTGTGACTTGACCTACTCATGCCTCTACCAATAGACAATTGATGCAACCCAATAACTAATCTCCCCTTCAACAATTTCTTTCTGCTAACAACCTTGACTCTGATACCAATTGTTGGATCGAGCGTTTACCACTAGACCAAAAGTTATAGCTGATAGTTAGGACATAACTCTTTTTACTTAACCGTAGAAACCCAAGCATCACATGTCTTGACTGTGACTTGACCTACTCAGGCCTCCATCACGAGACAATTGATACAACCTAGCAAAAAAACCTAACTTTATCATTCATGTTCTTTCCTATATATTCAACCTAAAGTTCTTATACAAATCTTTCTTCGTCCCTAAACACGTATGATGACATCATGTCCTTGCGTTTCTACAAATAGATGTAAGAACAACATATATATGCCCTCTGTAATCACAAAGACTTGTTTCCATTTCCACATATCGAGGGTCATCACTCACTAGATTAGTACAGTTTAAGACCCCTATGCTTGGAACTATGGTATCAAATCCCATGTACCCCAATGTTAGCAGATCTGTTGTAGTATGGTCAACGACATTGAAAAAATTGAAATTCATTAAATTTAAGAAATAGCAAGGAATGGGGCAAGTAGTGTCCTCCACAACACCAACATCAGTTAATTGGATTTCGTATATCGTGTAATTAATATCCCGCATAGGGTATTTCCCAAAAAACATAGTAAACATTGTCACGTTGTTCACGCAATCTAACTCATACTTTCGGAGGCCGTAACCACATGGATCGCCTTTCAGTCGAAATGGATAAGTTATTGATGGAAATATAATCCCCAAGGATCCTTTTGGAAGAGGTAAGACCAAGAAGGGTGAAGGTTGTTCCAAGGAGTCTGCACACTTAAAGACCATTGGACCTTTAACTAGGTCCATGGTTAAGAGGCTAGAGGAGGCTTCTACAGAGGAGGTGCTTCTTAGACCTATGGTCTTCATGAGCATTAAGTATGATTCCTCTTATTAGCCCCTTAGTTTTCATTGTATATACATTGTATGATACTTGTACATAGTAGTTACTTGTATAAGTGTATTTTGCCTTTATATTTGTGAGACACTTTCTTTCTTTTCCTATAGGATTTTAGGGTATGTTACTTGGAGACTTTTGCTCCATTTGACCTTGTATGAAGGGTCATAGATTTACACATTTTTAGTAGAAGTGGGGTGACAAATAGTAAGGTGTGTAGGTATAGCTAGAAATTGGGCCTTTGGTGGGCCTAGGCTAAATTTTACATATTAGGCTTGTTTTCCTCTGTTTTTTTTTTCAAGGAATTGATTTAGCTAGGTCTAACCATCACTTGGTGAACATAACTAAACCAATTCTAAGAGTTTTGAATTGGATTAAATGTAGGAGACAAGTTTGGCCTCCTAGCTCACCTTCCTTGGCCCAAATTACCTTGGCTTCTCCCACACACTTGGATAGCTTGTGCTACAAGCTTCTAGCTTAGCTTGCTCCCCAAGCCTCTAAGTTAGAAGCTTGTTCCACAAGCTTTCAAGTTACTAGACCGATTAGCTTGAGTGCAAGAAGGCTAACCATGGTTCTCCTTGAACCATAGTTAGTCTAGCTTGCACCACAGGTTTCTCCCTCACTATATTAAGTCTTTTTCTCCACTTTGTAAACACTTTTGATGCATATATTGAGAGAATTCCAAAAATTGTTTATATTTTCTCTTTTTCAAAAATCTCAACCTCTTTGATTTTAATCCATTTCTCTTATCCTCTTCATACAAAAGTGTGGTGAGATTTGAAGTGGTTAATCTTCCTCCAAGGCGTGGCGCCACTTGAGCGTGTTCCTCACCATTGTTGGTGAATTCCAAAGCTTCATCCACCATTGGAGGCTTCGGAGAAGCTTAAGGAGTACCAAGGAGCCAAAGGTTTAGAGAGAAGCTTGAAGAGAAATCAACTCCAATCTGGTTCCAAGTCAAGTTTCCATCAGTTATGTTGCTAATTTTGCGACATGAAGAAGGAACGCAAGATGGGTGATGCTTGGTGCTGCATGTTGATGTTTGTTGAAATAGCACAAAAATGATAACCGCAATGCCAACCATTGTTTGCGCACAGCCGTAGAAAGAAGGAAAGACAATCATTCTTTACTACGCTCTTCTATTTGAAGAAATTAATAGTTAAATTAGAGCTAAAGACTGGACCACTCTTTTATATAATTAAGGATCGTGACTTTTCGAAATACTCTGCCCTTCATTTCTTTCTTTTAATTATCTTTTTTTAATTGGTTTAATGTTCTTCACCTTTTTCAGAGTTTTTAATTAGATTTTTGAATTAAAAAATTTCTAATTCGATCCTAACATTTTTTTTTTTTATATGTTAATAATTTAATCTTAGAGATTAAATTTGTAAAATGTTGAAAAATATTTTTTTTAATATTTTTTTATATAGATAATACATCTGATTATTATTTCTTGTAATCATTCATGTCTATTAAGTTTTAATTACTATTTATTGATAAAAATATAAAGTAATAGTATGATGTGATCATCTATTTATAAGGATAAAAATAATTTTTGATGAAATTTTACATAGACAAAATTTTAAATTTAGATACTAACTTATATTATAAAAAATTGAAGGTCCTATTTTAAAGAAAAATAATAATTTGGGAATGCAATTAAAATTATCAAAGATTTTAAGCATATTAAACCCTTCTATTTTTATGTTGTCTATCCTTCATAATCTTTATTAAGTAAAAAAATCGTCATATATATAATTTATTGAATAATAAAAATTAGAATTTTGGTATGTTGTTTTTCTATTTTGTCTTAAATATATTTTTAGTGTAATGATTCGATAGGTTTCATACAGTCTAAAGCGTCAGTGAACAATGTATACTTAACACTGCCCATACCATATAAGTTCATGCATAAAATAAAACATCTTGATCATATAGTTATATATATAATGAGAATGCACAATTAGATCCCAACCTACAACATCTATACAATGGAATATAAGCTCCCCTGCTGCATGCGTCTCAACAAAAGAATGCATATCATTATGGCCCAACACCTACTCCTAATCTAATCGCAAATCAAGGTATGGTCATCGTAGTTCCAACCATAAGGAAAACAACTAGGGTAAGTTCACAACAATATTCATCATAAATCAACAACATCATATAATAAGCAACAATAAAGTACATGTCAACTTTCAACTTGAAATGCAACAAATACATCAACATATATGACAACATATGCAATATCAACTAATGCATCGTCACACATATACAAATAAGAGATCTCCAACAACTGAGGTTGAGCAGTCTAGGTGGCATAAATCCTACCAAACCCAACTTTAGACCTATCTTAGTCAGGTCAGGTATAGGACAACGTTAGAAACTTCGAAGATAACCAAGTATAGCCAACAATAATTGATTGCTCGGGTGTGCCACTTAGACTTGGAGTCCAGTACTACTGTCAGGGCAAAAGGGTTTAGGTATGAGCATACCACGACCTTAGCTTGCATCACCAATCCACATGTGGAGTTAGCCCACTGATTGCCCTCCAAGTACCACGCACCCTCCAGTACCTAGTCAAATACTACATCTCTAACTAGATACTTTACTCGTTTGGTCATTCAACTATAACATGGATCGACTACTTCCATTTTGCCCACACAGTATTAAGGGATTCAACTTTAAAACAACATTCAACTTATCACCTTAGTACTATGCATCTTTCAACTTAGGACATATATCATCAATTATATGTCCTCAACTTTGCAACTTTACAACAATAGACATCTTATTATTCAACTTTACAACAATAGGCATCATGTAACAACTTAAACAAACAACCTTAACAACTATAGTTATCAAAATATCAATTTGAATAAGCAACTTTACAACACTCAAACAACTTTACAACTTTAATCAACTTTCATAAGCAACTTTACAGGATAAACAATTTATATATCTTAACATCATCAACAATGTGCAACTCCTTTTCCAACATACAACTTGCGCCCGGTGCGGCAAGCATGTGCCCAACGCCAAAGAGGAACAGAGTGTTCTCTTGTGCTTATGCGCCAGGCACAACTCCTCTTGCCCTCGACGCCCCCAAAGTTAGAGGCTCCTCTAAGAGTCTCGCGACCGGTGCATCATAACCAGTGCCCAACGCCTGCAAGTCAAAGACTTACCATCTAAATTATGCCTAACAAAATTAGCTTTTTGCTCAACATGAATCAAATTGACTCTTTGTCTCATCGGCACCCAACGCGGAGCTTCCCACACTTAGCGCCTTATAAGAGAGTGTGGCTCTTTGCTAGGGTCGTGCCCGACACTTACCTCTCCGCGCTCGACATGATCTTAGTAAAGACTCACACTTCCAACTTATTGATATCGTGTCTGATGTGTCTCAAACTGTGCCCAGCACCCTTCAACCAAAGGCTCAAACTCAAGTTCTCGCTCGGTGCAACCAACCTTGCGTCCAGCACGAACAAGAGATTTCACTCTCTATTAAAGGCCTTCCCAACACCATGAATGCGCACCTGACAGGGGCTCAAATCCAACACATATACAACTCGCAATTTTCATCTACAACCTACATTTCAGCCATTCCCAACACTTGCAAATGGTTTCCAAACGTTTATCAAACCAAGTTAAGAAGTCCTCCATTAAACCAAAAATCCCAAAACCAAAAATGATTTTCTCAAAATGGTTCCTTCCATCCACCCTTCAAACTTTCTCCAAACAAGAGTTTGATCCAAGACACACAAAGATGTGAAGCTTCCCTAACCTGTTTTCGGAGCTCTAAAGAACGAGAAGAATGTCGAAGGAGAGAAATGGAGAAGAACAAGAATTTCAACCCTAGAGTCAAGCTTCCTTCCTTCACTAGATGCTCAACCTTGAGAAATGGAAAAGAGTGTTTAGGAAAGAAAGGAAAAATTTATGTAGGTGTAAAAGTGAAGTGAAGGTGAAGGTGATGGTGAAGGGGAGAAAGAAATGGAGTACGGGTATTACATTTGGTTTCATAAAATTTAGGGTAAATTTGATTTCAATTTCTCACATTTAAAATTATATTTTTTTAACTCTTTAAATTTTTAAATTCTTATTTTAGTCTTTTAAGTCTTTAATAGTACACTTAAAATTGATAAATTGAAACAACTATGTAATATCAACTAAATTTAATGTTATATTTGGGATAAATATTTCATTCAACAATATTTAATAAATTTTTAAAAATAATTAAATATAAAAATTAAAATAAAATTTTCAAAATTACATATATTAAAAAATTAATTTTAAATTTAAGAGACTAAAAATAAATTTATCTTAAATTTTAAAGAATAGAAATATATTTAAACTTTTTTTTATCTTTTACAATTATATTTCATAACTTTTTTTAATTCAAACTATAATAATTATAGTTGTCATATTTAACACTAAATTTTTTTTAACGAATGAATCGAGCTTAAACGTGAACTCAAATGTAAAACAACTGATTGTGCACAAAAATGACGTATGTCGGATTAGCACAAAAATTAAGCACAGTGATATTGTCGACAGAGAGAGGAAAGGTAAGACACGTATAATTTTGGCTGTGGGACCACTCCTTGAAAATGCAAGTTCCGTGTTGATTAATAAGTATCGCGACATTTCAAAATGGTGGTAACGTATTAAACGCGCCACCTTCTTTTCTTGATTTTTTACTTTATGAAGATATTTATCTAGCTATTGATTAAATGAAAAATTATAAAAATAGGAAATTAGGTTCCTATACTGAAAATAACTATTTCAATACGAGATTATTCTAAAACTAGAGGTTATCTTGATATTTGAAAATAAATATTTTGACTTAAGATTTAATTGTTAATTTCTAGCTGATTTATCCTATAAAATTAAAAAAAAAATAGTTAGTAATGTAGTATAAAAAAATTAAATGAAATTAAATTTTTGTGTATTAAATTCAACTGATGTATCTTAACTTTTGAAAAATTAAATATATTTTTTTAAAAAATTATACATAAATTAATTTTAACTTTTTTGACATCTAATGAATTTTAACTTAAGTATGTTAAAAAATATTTTATCTTCTTATTTTTTTTTCCTATAATGCTTATGAGCAAGTTCAAAATTCACTATTAATGTTCATAAACGACTTAATTTAATGTGAATCGTAAAAACCAAAATAAAAAAAAATTTAATAAATGGAGAATAAAAAATAAAAAATTATCATAATTCATTTTGTTGTATTGAATTAGATTATACTAAATTATCTGATTTAATATGAAATAACATATATGTTTATAAAATTGTTTATTAAATTATCATACTAACTTTTAGGCATAAATTTATTTAAGTCTTTAACTTTAACGAAAACTGATAAAAAATAATTACATAAAGATTATAATAAATTTAGTAATAAAAAAAATATCATGTATTTGGATTATGCATAAAGTATTAGCATTGAAAATAAAAAAATAAAAATAGAAGTTTCTTGGAAATCAAGCCAGAAGACAATAAGACCATAAACTCAGAAAGTAATCACAACATGGAGTTGCTGTCATGTAGAAAATGAAGAACAAAGGGAACAATTAAGAATTAAAAAATTTGTTAAAAAAAGATTTAAGTCAATTTAAAAGATATTATATAGTAAATTTAATTTCACTTTTTAATGAATGAATTTGTGTAAAAATCTTAAAAATAAATTAAATCAAAATTACTGAAATATTATTATTTAAATATATATTTAAAAATAATTAATAAAAATAAAACTGTAACTATTGAATAATTTATTTATTTTTATATAAATATAATTTTAAAATACTAATTTCTTTGTATTTTTTACTTAATTTTATTCTATCGATTACAAATGTTCACTCCATTGAATCAATTATTATTTATTTTCTTTGGATTCCTTCGATTCTTCTCCCCCAAAAAACCTGACCCTGCAAAGCATTTTCTGGCCTGATTTCAAAATGCTAAATTTTCAGAAATTGTGTCTTCTATCGGCTGTGGTGTTTTTCCTACGGCATCCTGTTGTAGGCAAGAACCACTGCGCGAATAAATGTGGAAGGGTTCGTATTCAGTTTCCGTTTTATCTCAAAACCAGCAACATGAATCACACCACCGAACACCCACCTGGGTTTGAACTGTCGTGTAACGAAAAAGATGAGACTATGTTGGAGCTTCCTTCTGTTCCAATAAAATTGTTTGTCAGAAACATTGATTACGAGTCTCAGCGAATTGAAATATATGAGCCGCAAAATTGCCTTTCCGCTCAGCTCTTGAAACTCGGCAACGCATCCATTTCTCCATTCCAATTTCCCAAGCCATATTATGGTTCTGACGGGACTAACGTTTCCTCCTTCAATTGCGATTCAATGTCGTGCCCTATTTTGCTAAGTGAATCCTCCTTGGACTCTGTTCAACCTGAATTAGTATCTTGCACCAAGGTGAAAGATGTTTTGTCTGCCAAATGGTATAATTCGTATTCCTACAATGACGGGTCGGTGGCTATGGAATGGTTGAAACCTGATTGTAGATACTGTGAAGCACGAGGCCAGAAATGTAAACGGAAGAATGGAACCAGCGGTGAAACTGAATGTTCCGTTTGTCTAACAAATACCACTCATGGGTTAACAAATGTTTTACTCATTGCCGCAGGTTTGCAATCTCCTATGTTGTAACTGTAATTTAATCCATGTTCCTGTTTTGTTATTCATTTTGTCTGATTAACATGATTTTCCACCAACAGGAGGAATAATGGGTTTGATGCTACTAGTCGTGGCATTGGTTTGCGTGTATCGCTATTATGCGAAGAAAGAGGAAGACCAAGCTCGGATAGAGAAATTCTTGGAGGATTATAGGGCACTGAGGCCTACGACTACGAGACTCTCTTATACAGACGTTAAGAGAATCACAAATGGATTTAGTGAAAGTTTAGGTGAAGGAGCTCATGGAGCAGTGTTCAAAGGAATGCTCTCCTCAGAGATTCTCGTTGCTGTGAAGATACTCAACGACACAGTGGGAGATGGGAAGGATTTCATAAACGAAGTGGGAACCATGGGAAAAATTCATCACGTTAACGTTGTTCGCTTGCTTGGATTCTGTGCAGATGGGTTCCACCGTGCTCTCGTCTATGATTTCTTCCCAAATGGGTCACTGCAGAGATTCTTGGCTCCACCTGAGAAAAAGGATGTTTTTCTTGGTTGGGAGAAGTTGCAACAAATTGCTTTGGGTGTTGCAAGAGGAATTGAGTATCTCCATCTTGGTTGTGATCATAGAATACTTCACTTTGACATCAATCCTCACAATGTTTCACTAGATGACGACATGGTCCCAAAAATCACTGATTTTGGACTTGCAAAGTTGTGTCCCAAAAATCAAAGTACAGTGTCTATGACTGCAGCTAGGGGAACCTTGGGCTACATTGCCCCTGAAGTTTTCTCAAGGAACTTTGGTAATGTGTCTTACAAGTCTGATATTTACAGCTTTGGGATGTTGCTGTTGGAAATGGTTGGAGGAAGAAAGAATACAAATGTATCAGCCGAGGAAAGTTTCCAAGTTTTGTACCCTGAATGGATCCATAATTTGCTTGAAGGCAGAGACGTGCAAATTAATGTTGAAGATGAGGGGGATGTTAACATTGCAAAGAAACTTGCCATTGTAGGACTTTGGTGCATTCAGTGGAACCCAGTGAATCGTCCTTCAATAAAAATTGTGGTACAAATGCTTGAAGGGGATGGAGAGGAGTTAATTGAACCTCCAACTCCTTTTTCTAGAACAAACATTGTACCAGCAACACATCAAAATTTTGAGTTGGAAGTTATCCATGAAATAGAAGAGTAACATTGTTTAAACATTTTTAGGTTTTCTCAAATGTAATATTTTTTGGCAAGTAGGATTATAAGCAAAAATATTGTTGGAACTAAATAATGATCCTTCCAGCGGAAATAAAATAGTATTGACCAATGCATTTTACCATTTCTTTTATTATGGATGCTATGCAAACGACTCACGAGATTTCACCATTTAAATCAACGGATTTTTTCATTAGCGATCAATTTACTAGCCTTACTTTTTTTTTTTTTTTAGGTAAAAGAATTTACTAGGCTTATAAATTGATTAGCAATGCTTTAAGACATTAGTTGTATAAACATATCTATGTAAGCAAGTTAAGATAATTGACTAGCATTATTCGGTGATAATGAAGTAAACCAATTTAAATATAATTTAAAATTCGATTCAATAATTAATTTGTTTAACTTAATTCATGAATTAGATAAGTTAAATTTGAGTTAAAATTTAAATTTGATAAATAAATGAGTCGAATTTGAGTGGTGTATAATTTTATTTGCTTGGTTCATGAATCAAATAGCATATAAATATATAATTTATATAATTGACTTTCAATTTAATTCTTGCTTATTAAAGCTTAAAAGAACCTTAAAAATTTAGTTATAAGTTATTAATAATAAAAGAATAGGATACCTTAAAGTTTCATGATTATAGAATTAACTTGTTTAACTTGGTTTATAAACTAAATGACCAAATTTTAGTTAAAAATTAAATTCGATAAATAAATGAGTCAAATTTGAGTTCTGTATAGTTCTGCTTGCTTGATTCATGAATCAGCTAAGCATATAAATATATGATTTATATAATTTACTCTTTACTTAATTCATGCTTGTTAAAGCTTAAAAGAACCTTAAAATGTTAATTGTAAGTTAATAATAATAAAAGAATAGGGAACCTTATAGTTTCATGATTATAAAATTAATTTGTTTAACTTAGTTTATGAACTAAATGGGCCAAATTTTAGCTAAAAATTAAACTCGATAAATAAATGATTGTGTATAGTTATGCTCACTTGATTTATGAATCAGTTAAGAATATAAATATATGATTTTATATAATTTACTTTCTATTAAATTTTCATGCTTGTTAAAGTTTAAAAGAACCTTGAAAAGTTAGTTATAAGTTAATAATAATAATAAGAGAATCGGGCATCTTAGAGTTTCATGATTATAGATTAGGTTTTCTATGATTTTAGTAAGGTGAATTAGTTTTTATTTATATAGACTTTGGTTGTAATTATTTTTCTTTACAATCATACTTTGTCACCTTGCAAAGCTAATATAATAAGTTATGTTTTGACTCTCTAAAGAATTTAAAAATCATTTTGTCTAAAATGAGTCAAATATATTAATAAATTGAAAATTTGAAATGCATAAGATTTAAAAAAAATTGACTATTCATTCATATGATTCAAGCTAATGAGTTCAATCAAGTTATTAACGAGCTTAAATCGAGTCGAGTTCGAGCTAAAAAAACTATTAATGTCAAACTCGAATCGAGCTTGAACAGCGCATATAAAAAAGTTGCACATTTGCAAGTACGTGAAGTAGTATCTATAACAGACAAAGGATTAATACGAGTGAACAAAGAACACATGAAGTTTTTACACTGGTTCACCTCAACCATAGAGGCTACATCCAATTTTCAATTTAATTAGATTGAGTTCTACTAACTTTTAACAAAGTTACAAGTATTTTTTTACCAAACCATTTCTGACTCAAATAAGTGCTCTTTGACTGACCTCCTCAAGCTACTACCCAAGTATTTTTTTTACAAATAAACCTCTCTAGCCTTAACCCCAAGTATTTTTTTTTACAATCAAACATTTTCAAGCTCTACCCTATAACAATGGTTACAAAGGTATTACAAAGTCGTAGTTGTCGTCTCTTTTAGATGTGAACAAATGTTTAAGTACAAGAAAACTCTTGAAGTAGATTTTCTATGAGTTGTATATTTTCTCTATATGTCAAAATCTTCTCTTTGTATCACTTCTTTTTCTCTTGAGTTCTAGAGCTTTTTATATCGTAGCTTTGAAAGAGATAACAATTGCAACTTTTTATATCGTCTTACTCTTTTGTCTAATCTAGAGAGAGGAAGTATTTGTTGGTGCATTAAATGCTTCAATTAATGTCTTTCATCTAAATGTACTCCTTATCTTTGATAGATCAAGTTACTTATCGATGCAAAATAGCAAAATGGGAACAACAGGAAGCAAAGTCAGTATGCAATGAGGATGTAGTCCTTTTTTGTGTCTTTTCTATGAAATTTGGGATATTTGTCTTTTGTTTTGATGTTCTACATGTTTTTATACACTTTTAACAAAATGTGAGTCCAAGACAACAACTTTTGATATGTTAAAGTAGAAAGCATTCATTTGAAAATTTAAAAATGCCACTCATAATAAATAATGGACGTTAAGAATAATTGTATGTTTCATCTGATTTGCTTCGTCTTACAAATGCTACTTCGTCTTACAAATTATAAAATATCAACTTTTTGAAAGCATTTTCTTACCTAAAGACATAATGTTTGTTATCATTAAACCTTATAAAAAATGAGGGATCTAAAATCATCTTTTGACTTAACAAATTGCTACAAGAAGCATTTGATTGAAAGTTTTTTGAGTGGGTTTCCTTACTGATTTTCTCTCACACCCAAACTTTGTTTCTCATAATTTTTATTCTCTCCCTCACAAACCCTTAAAGATCAATAAAACTCTTAATACCATGTTAAAAATGAAATCAGATAGGTAGGAAGAGAAGAACAAATTTGAGCAAGACAACTTATGTAGTGAGGATTCTGATGTGCACTTACATTTTACTACATATATAAACATTTTTCAATGACTCGAAAGTCATGAAGTACAAGATTACGAGAAAAAATAGTTAACGTAGTTGTATTATCTTCTAAAAATAATGATTTTCACCCACTTTTGCTTATTATATATTCACCAAAACATATTACATATTGCCTATTTTCTTTTTTCTTTTTTTATATAAAACAGATTTCTTATCAAGAAAGTACAAACACAGCAAATTTGATATTCAAAATATAAAAAAAAAAAAAAAACAAAACAAAACTCAAAGCCTAAGAGAACCATATGAGTATGTTATTCAAAGTAGAATTCGTCAATATGTTCCCCACATACAAGCAGGTAGCAATGATTGTCTTCTTATCTTCTTTCCGCAGCTGTGCACCACAAAGACAAGTAGTTAAAGTGATGGTGTATTGGCAAACCACATTTCAGGTGATGCACCTTAACGGATTGGTTTGATACCGAAAAACAATAACCTTTTCTACGAATCTACCTAGAAACAGAGTCCCATGATTCCGTGTCAGAACGATGAAGGCCCCCACTCAATAATTCGAAGCAGGCCCACTACTAGTGAAAATGAATCACTAAACATCAATGTCGTTGAATTTTCAACTGCATTTCGTGCCGTATTAAAAAAGGCGGAATTTTATTTTACAGTTGACTTCATTTTTAACGTAAAATTAATAAATAAAAAGAAAGAAAGGAACCGAAGGGCCCGACCCTTGATTAGTTCAACACGGAACAACATTCAAAGAGTGGTCCAGCATGCAGCTAGCTCTTATTGAAGAACTATTTAACTATAATTTCTTCACATAGAAGAGCATAGTAAAGAATGATTATCTTCCCTTCTTTCTACCGCTGTGCGCAAACAATGGTTGGCATTGTGGTTATCATTTTTGTGCTATTTCAACAAATATCAACATGCAGCGCCAAGCATGACCCATCTTGTGTTCCTTCTTCATGCGGCAAAATTAGCAACATAACATATCCATTTCGACTGAAAGGCGATGCACGTGGTTGCGGCCTCCAAAAGTATGAGTTAGATTGCGTGAACAACGTGACAATGTTTACTCTGTTTTCAGGGAAATAGCATGTGCAGGATATCAATTACGCGAGATACGAAATCCAATTAACTGATGCTGGTGTTGTGGAGGACACTGGTTGCCCCATTCCTCGCTATTTCTTAAATCCAGTGGGTGATGACCCTCGATATGTGGAAATGGAAACGGGTCTTTGTGATTACGGAGGGCATATATATGTCGTTCTTACATCTTTTTGGAATGAATTTACGATGGGGGACATTAAGGTCGGGTGCCATCTGAAGGTGGCCACTTTTGCAAACGAGTGGATGTTGGGTTCAGTTTCAGAGAACAACAGGAACTTTTCCTATGCTGATTGATATTCACAAGGGGCTTCTGGAGGGATTTTCTTTGTCTTGGTTGATCCCAGTTACTTGTAGGGATCTTTGCGGAAAAGGTATCGGATGCTCTCTTAATGAAACCACATGGCAAGTTGAATGTGACCCCCTGGGACAGCGTTACTGCCACTACGTCTATCATACCACAACCAAGTGCGGTGCGTGCCAATTCTTCTGTCTTCTCCACTAATTACACATCTTTATTTATTATGCATATTGCATACTCTACATGTTTTCTTTTTCTTCATATTCTTTATGCCATGGTTACATTTGTGGAAGTTTTAAAAGAAACTATTATTATAATTTCCACAATTTATTTACTTGTTATATTGTAAAAGAGTGTTTTTAGTGTTATTTTTTAAATTTATAAAATTGTTGAATTTTTTTTTATCTAATCCAACTTTTCATTTATCTAATTAATTAGTAACTTGTTATTGACGATTACATTAAACGCTTAATATTTTCTCTCTCCGTATTGTAGGAATTGCATCACAGGTTCTTGGATATATACGAGGTAAGCTCGCCTTCCCGTTTCTCTCGTTAGATTCTCTGTAGAGATTTTTTTCTTTATTTTCTTGTAAGGGGGATTAGGTACCACCACTTAAATTGGGGATAACTACACCGATAAGAAAACAAAATTGGGAATAAGACCAAAACAACATTTTCTCTTAATTGTTCTTTTTTTTTTTTTCTTCTATCAGAATTATATCCATTAAATTTGAATTTAATGATCTATATATACTATCATAATTCTAATTATTAGGAATGAGAATAAATTATACTTTAAATAAAGACTTTAAAGACCTATGCTATGAAATATTTAAATTTTATAATCTAATTTAATTGACATATTTAATAAAAAGTTTAGATTTAAAATTTTATAAAAGTCTATTTATATA